CTCTTGGAAGTGACGCGGACTTTCCTGCACTGGTCAAGCAAGCATCTACAATATTGGATGCGCCGACTCAACAGCCCATCTCTTCACAAGAGCAGTCACAAGATACTAGAAAGAAAGTATGCTCCAAAAAGTACACTCTAGGAAATACAAAAAAAAAAGAGAGTATGTTAAACATTATGCGCCTCCATTGTTCAGAATTTCGACATCTGTTAATAGAGGAAAGCCTCTCAAAATGTATCTGCGGGCACCAATTCCGCCTGGACTCCCAAATAAAAAAAAAAAGTTATATTCCAATCTTTAGCAATTCGCATGTGAGACAAACAAAAAAAAAAAAGCGGAACGATCAAGATGCGATGCCCCATAACAAGAGGTCTCAAACACGCGGCCCGCGGGCAACCGGCTACGAGTCCCGGTTCTCATGTTTTGAGCGCTAGAAATCTCATGCGCCATCGTGATCTCTTCTCGCTGATTCATTTTCGATCGAAAAGTAGCTCTGTTCTTTTAACGTATTCACATAGTTTTTACTTAGCTGTGTTCATTTGTCCTTTGTTTTGCTTGATCTTTTGCTTGCCAGCTTTTTGTAATGTACAACAAATCCGCTACTAGGCTGCAAGCGTGAGCTGTTCATTGAAGGATGCATCTCGACTGCGCGAACTCTCGATCAGCAGGAGCAACTGACGAAGATAAAGCAACGAGCTCGGTGTTCTCGCCTTAAAAAGACATTACCATTAAAAGACAACTACGTGTGTTGTAATAGGAATCGTCAAGAAAGCAGGAACTGTCAAATAAATGATTGTCTTTTAAGAGACATGTTGAGCTTGGTTAATTCCTGAGTAAATTGGGCAACGGGAACGACAGTGCCCTTGCTCTCTTGTTCTATTCAAAATGTGAGCATGTTGGCGGGGCGATGTTATTTTAATCATTGTTATCACATCAGGTCAGGGCTCAAAGTAGTCATATAAACAAATCAAATCTAAAAATGTCACTGGCACAACTGAGTTTACTAAAAGCGTAGAGCACGAGGTCTCTCCTCTTTGAAACCTTTCGACCCCCCCCCCCCCCCCCCCCCCCCCGGTCTAACGCTATCTGGCCCCCACGCTGAAACAAGTTTGAGACCACTGCCCTATAGTATGCCAGACAAGAGAGACGCATCCGGGTATAGAAATGACGCAATCTTGTAATACAACTATGACCACTGCCAATGCGCGACTATGTCCCTCGCAAGTATGAGTGATGCTGGCGTTTGAAATGATTGGTGCAATCCACACAAAACGCGGTTTTTCTAAATGTACTCTCATTAATCAAAACCTGAACAAAGTGTATCCACCTGGCACTAAACACAGTAATTTTAAGCCTTAACACGCACGTCAGTATAGAGTTCACGCGCGTTGCTATAAAAACCGATCGCACAGCCCTCCTGCACGCGACAGCAGAAAACGAGCGCGCTGCCGAAAAGGGCAAGCGCGCACCCCCTACGCCCGACAGTTCGAAAAGCGCGCGCGCAGTTCTTTCTCGCACTGCAACGGGAAGGACGAAAACGCGCGCGCGATGCGGGAAGGCGCGAGCAAGAGCTCGCACTCCTTTTCCATGCGTGACCATCAAGTCGATTTCAGTGCCACGTCAGCCGCCATGAGCGTCCTCCGACCCAGACGGCGACGGCAGTCCCTCCTTCCGCGAGAACTTCCTTTCGAGTAGGAGCCTTTACACGTGCGCCATGCAAAGCTCCAATGCGCAGGCGCCTGGTATGCTGCGCGCAAGGTCAAGCACGTTCGTGTGAGCAAGAAACCAAAAGTTTCGTGCATATCACTTTCAATAGTTCCAACACATTCGATTGCAAGCAAGGAGGTTGATTGCAAGCCAATGAACCTAGAGTCACTAAACAAGCTGATGAACGCTGCGTATTTTCGGCACCGATTTGAAGTCCAGGGGGCCTGGCCAATGACGTCACGGATGTCAAAATAATGGCTTTTTATTTTGACGTCAACAACACGTTTTATTTTGGATGCCGCTGACTGTATTTTGAAATGTCGGGTGCTCGGCGACTCGGCGGTGTCTGCGCTGGTGCGTGTTGTCGACGCGCCGCCTGGACTCGTCGCGTTCTCCCCAGGCACATGTAAGCTCTCTCAATTTTCAAACTTCGCCCGGTGCCGTCCATCACTCCTGTTGCAAATGAAGATTACGTGTACCGGAGGCGACGGAGCCCAGCCACAGTAATGTTGTACGCATTTTTTCTGGAACTGTACTCGTGTGTAATACGACGGATTATCATTTTTGCGTAGAATAGCTGCGAAGGCCGTGCAAGCGGCGAGCGAGTAGCCTTGACTGGCGACGTAAGCACCCGCTGCAGGAGAGCTCGTGCCGCATGATCCAAAGCAACTAGCTCGCGCTTTTAGCACTGTCGTCGACAACATTCGATTTTTTGTGTGTGTGTGTGTTAGTTGTGAAAAAGGAATGTTGTCAATATCGCCAAATGCCCCTCCAAAACAAAATGTTCGAAATTAAACCCGCGACCGTTTGCGAGCGAGGCAGACATCTTACCACTAAACTACGCTCAACTTCGGAAATATAGTTTTCGCAATCTTGTTTTATATGAGACTTTCGGACGTGTTTGGAGTACCGTTGGTCGGCACCCGGGGGGGAGGGGGGGGGGGGGGGGACGCTCTGCAAAAGTGCCGTCGGACGGTACTCTAGACATTACGAATCTTCATTTGCAACAAGAGTGACGGACGGCACCGGGCGAACGAAATTGGACAACGCTTACCTTGATGTTCCTGGATGTCGGCAATTGATACGCAACAGAACGCGACGAGCACAGGCGGCACGTCGACAACACACACCAGCGAGGACACCGCCGATCGCCCGACCACGAACACATTCGCCGACCGACCGACGTTTCAAAATGCAGTCGGCGGCATCCAAAATTAAAACGTGTTTACGTTAAAATAAAAGAAATTTTAATTTTGACGCCCGTGACGTCATTGGCCACGCCCCCTGGACTTCAAATCGGTGCCGAAAATAGGCACGCATGAACCTACGTTCTCAATGCGGAGTCCCTCGATGTCATATCATGACACGAGCTGATATCACGGAGTCACTCAATAGCATCTCGCGAACTCAAAACTCATACCACGAAGTCTCTTAATATAATCTCTCGAACTCAGTCATATGACGGAGTCCCTGAATATCATCTCACGAACTCAGTCATATGACGGAGTACGTCACTCAATATCACCTCACAAACTCACTCATATCACGAAGTCACTCAAGATCATCTTACGAACTCAAACGCATTTTACGGAGTCAAACAATATTATCTTATGAGCTCGGAGTTATATCACGAGGTCACTCAAGTTGACTCACAATCAGGCGGTGAGTGTGAGTGTGTTTGAGTGAGTGAGTTAGTGAGTGCGTTCGCCGAGGTATGTGGCGCGGCTGGTTCAGAACGACCTTTTCGAAGTTTCGAAGGTTTTAATGAACCGAAATGGCGATTACCATGGCAGTTGAGACAAATCAGGCAATCACCTTGCGAGATTCGGCCGCCTGTTTGTGTCCGGCTAAGAGGCAGGGAAGTCAATGGCGCTACTTTATCAAGATGCACACTTTACTATGCACGAGTTCTCGTACAAACAAGAGCATTCAGGTATAAGGTAGACTTACGCGCCTGTGCCCTTGTTTTTACTTCAGACATTTGTGAGATGTTATGAGTGGTTTGGCTCTCATCGACGGGAACAAGGGTAAAGGGTGAACGTCGAATTTAGCAGTGTACTGTATAGCAGGCAATGACCTCGAGCCTCTATCGTGCTCTTTACACCTCTCGTGATGAGTCATTAAGATCACAATCATAGAGCAACATTATTAGAAAAGCTTATTTACGGAACTGCTCATTGACGCTGCTTGCACGGTAGAAGCCCCTCTCCCCCACTACCCCCCTCTCCCCGTACGAGCCATGGGGGGAGAGGAGGCTACTGCTCCCCCTCTCCTTTTACGGCTCGTAGGATGACGGTTTGTGGCTTGTGACCGTCGTTCGACGTGCCGGACGGTTGCTATGGTAACTGCAGTGTATTCTATGGAATGCGTATGTTTCGAAGCACAGACTATAGATGGCGTTTCACCGTATACTCTATGGAAGACTGAGTTTTGAAAAGAAAATATAGATGGTGCTTCAAACGACGGGAGGCTAAAGCCCCTTTATCCTGGGAAAAGTGGCGCCATTCATTGTTGTGAAAATGCTCGAGACACGTACCGCGCGCCACTTCTGGGAAGAACATGGCGTCTCAAATCTAGCTCAGTGCTGCGCTGTGCCGCCATGATCTTCCCAGGGCTGCTCGCCATGATCTTCCCAGGGCTGCTTTACGGGAGGCTGCGGGAGGCGAACTGAAGTGAGTGAGGGAAGGTGAGCAGGAGTGCTACAACTGAGGTAATCTAGTAACGTTGCCATAGGGGCAAATCGTAGTCTTGACGTCACGGATAGGTAACGTAATGAACGCGCGTGCTGACAGCGAGGTTCTACTACGGCTCGTTTCAAACCGGTAAAGTTGTTGTTCTTGATGTTGATTCGCGACAAGTTACTTGATGAACACATAGAAATACCGCCCATTCGCGCCTCTGAACACGTGCTTTCAGGGTGCCATTGTAGCCTCCAAAAACCCTATCCTCGCAATCGCACGCCGGTATGCGATGCTTGTCCAGATCGAAACGAGCAGGCTGCGGGGATTGATCCCAGGAAAGAACGTTTGAACCTTACTGTATAAGTTCGCGGTTGGAACGCTTGATAGCGTTTGTTTGACTGAAGGCACGGATATACTTAACTTGAACAATGAGAGAGCCGTATCTTGCCCTCCCATACACTTCTCATTTCGAATAGAAAAAAAAAATCGAAAGAAAAACAAAGGAGAAACGGATAACGTTCCGGACGCCCGTTACTTCCTTTAGCGGCCGAGTGCGCGCAAAGATAAAAAGAGCGTGTTGTAATCATAGCTAGACGCTTTAAGATACGGAAGCAGCAAATAAAAGCCGTTTTCTGTTTTGAACATTTCCACAGAGTGGGTTTGCGCTCCGGCTTAGTAAGGGCGCCGCTGTACAACTGCGCAATGAAACGCACAATCACTTTTTGCGTAGCCCTTGGGGCTTTTTACGCGGTCTTCGGAACAGCAGCATCAGCGTCCTATCGTTCTGCCAGATCCGCCGACGAGGTACGAAGAATCTACGAGAGCTTCGGTAAGTGAAAAGAAAACAAATCGTTTTTGTTTTTCTAAGCTTCTTGCTGGAAACTTCCCCCATCCAGTGTCTATATTCAAAGAACTTCGATGTCCGTCGACTGAGGACTATATGCAGGGAGCAAGTTCGTCTGAATCTTGCACAGGGGTTGCGATGATGTTAGAACGCCGAGCTCTTATTGGCTGATTGAAGAAAAAACAGCGGGTAGACCTCGAGGCATCTAGCAATGACGTCTACCCACTATCCTTTCGATCAAAGCCCATCAGAGCTTGGTGTCATTCGGACGTCACCGAAACTCATGTGCAAGAAGCAGACGACTCGCTCTCTGCATGCAGCGCAGGGTCGGGATCGGGAGCTGATTTGCCGAACGCTCGAATTGCATGGGGCTGAAGAAAGGCCTTTCATTCATACTCGCATCTTTATTTGCTTGTTTCTTCAATTTATATATTTGTACTTTTAACGTCTCGACTGATATCTTATTTCTTGACGTGTGAAATTTTCCGAAACAACCTCTATGGTCATTGAGAGCTTAGGAAATGCCGGACGCGGCGTGGCCTGACTATCTTATGGTAAATCCGCAGCCAATGAGACTCAGCATTTGCCGATAAGAACACCAACCAGCCAATCGCGATGCAAGAAGCCTGAACACAATAAGTCACGCCCTGCGCTTCTTAAGCTGTCACTATACTTCGTCTCATCCTACGATGGACTAAAGGCCAAAGCCACTGGCCGCCAGGTCCAATCACGTTCCACGCTAAACTATGACACGCTTAGCATTGATTACGTTTGGACGAATAATGCTTCGAATCCAAAAACGCTGCGTCATTTTTATAGCTTCGACAATGCAAGGAGCCAGTACGCCGTGACTTTCTTTGCAATGTAAAATTGTTGAGTCACTCATTGCTCGATCCGAACCACTGTCGGCCCATTCCCACCGGTGATCCGAGACGCGGGCACCGATACGTTATTCGAAACGAAATACCACATAATGCCTAAGTGGCTCGTGATTGGATCTGGCGGTTCGTAGCTTCTGCCTTTAGTTCATCGTAGGGTGAGACGAAGTATAATTGCAGTGTCTGTAGGACGAGGACATAGAACTTAGGTCCAACCGGCGCCTTATAGCGCATTTGTTATGGGTTAGTCTTATGAGGCCACGAAGACGTGGTCAATACAAGCTCTAACCTTCGGGACATAGTTTCTCTACGTGACTTGCCTGTGACGTCATCGCACCAAGCTGGTGGTCATACCCCGACGGTTTTGCCATCAGAAAGCATATGTCATGGTACGAAATTTAGGCTGCAGGAAGTATACGCTCTCGGCATGATTTGACGTCAGTGCAAGTCATCTATAACTTCGCATCGCCAAGTGTTGGGCATGCTTGAGTAGCTTCTGATGCTCGGAGAGATAATTGTGAGCTGACACGCACAAATTAAGATAAAAATATTGTTCAATACTTTTTTTTTTTTTTTCAGACGTGAGTTTGCTTTGATTGTGTGGGTGATAGTTAGGTGCGAATTCCGATTAACTTTCTCGAACATATTTCAGATCAGCTATGCTACACGGAGGGCCACTACACGGAGGCCGAAATTGAAGCTGTGAGTTGCTCCCTTTTCCGACTCCTTCCACTGATATTTTTTGGGATATATCTAAACGTTAAACGGATGCGGGAATTTCTATGAGCACGTGTCGAATCTGTATAAAAAAAAAAAAAACCAAGGGCCCTCAAACATAGTCAGTGGCGTCGAGTCATGGTTTTGTTTATCCATTGTTCCTTCTGTCAGATGTTGTCGTGCTCGGATAACGTGTAGAGAAGTGTGACCATCGACCTCTGGTTGATGCTGTGCTATCTTGAAGTGACGATCCACGAGCTGCTTCCAGTTGCACAAGCTATCATAAAAAACGTGTAGGGCCTATATACAATGTCGAAGAAGTGAATATCAGCGTGTAAACAGCAAGCGTAGCTAAAAGAGTGCCATATATAAAGTCGTTATAACCAGCGAGATCGCGAACCTGCTGAGGTTCCAGTGTAAGCACGTTTGACTTTTTCCGAACTTGTATCGCGAAGCACGATAAAAGTTTGACTCAAGCTCCCGTTTATTCATGCGCATGCGCGGAAGTTGAAAACGAGCTGACGCCGCCACTTGGCAGAGGAAGGGTGCGATATCTGCTGGTTGTTTTACTTCGCCGTTTCACATTAATGAACTGATTGAAGCGCGAATGTCTGCTTGCGTATTGTTTGACCGTGGGTAATAATTTTATAAAATGAAAATTCGACTACTTCACAGATTAATGTTTCCCAAAAAATCGACATTTTGGTATACAAAAAGCCGGGCAGCACTGTCCAGAAGTCCAGCGTTGCCCAAAGTTTGCTATAAAAGTTTAAGGGTCGCCAGACCGGTGTAACCTCTAAGTTAGACAGACGTTCGCTACATCCCCATGCTGAGAGCGAGTCATCTGCTTTTTGTACAGGAGTTGCGGTGACGTCAGAACAACGCCGAGCTCTGATTGGCTTCGATTAAAATGACAGTGGTAAGACATCAATGCTAGATGCCTTGACGTCTACCCACTATTTTTCTTTCAATCAGCCAATACCTGTTTCGCGTTTTGACATCATCGCAACCCCTGTGCAAGAAGCAGACGAACTTGCGCTCCGCATAGTCACGGACATCCTAAGAAACGCGTGACTTATTAATGTTCAGGCTTCTTCTTGGTTAGTTCTTCGATATTTTCTAATGCCGCAGTCTCATTGGCTGCTGAGCGCTAATAAGATGCTCGGGAGTCGTCACGCCCTAAAGCTATTCGCGGCGGGAAGTTTGGATATCGCCGCCTGGTGGAATTTGTTCACAACTCAGAGTGAGGATATTTCAACGTCATCTGCTGGTGCAAGCACGTGCAATGCCAAGCTTTTATGCACTATGAAAATTTAAAAAGTTAACCAAATGGGTATAGAGTGAGGAAAACAGAAGCGCCCCTAGTGAGCTCCTCACCGTGATTGATTGACTATAGTCATCACTCTGCCCCATTAAATTTGACGCACAAAAACGTCGCAACGCTTTGGGGGTTTGAAGTACTACACAAGCCCAAGCCCATCAACTCCCACCTAACCGCCGAAGGCTTTGATCTGATATCGTAGCTTTCCTTTTGGCTGCCCAATACGGATGCAGTATATATATTGCAATATTCATTGCAAGTTTTTTTTTATACTTTAGGAAGTATTACTGTAGTTAAGAGACATGCATTCTAGTCTTTTTACTTGATTTTTGTGTGTGATTAGTCTGCTATTAATAGTTACATTTCAGGAAACATCCGATCACTACAACCAGATGAATTTCTGTGTGCCGTTGACAGTGGTCCACAGTGATGTCCGGACCGTCTGTGTTTACCTCCCACTCCTGCCATAGCCCCAGTGGGGCTGCAGTATGTATAAATAAAAATAAATAAATCTGCTAACCATATACACATATATAAGGTGGTCCAAGTCACCAGGCTCGATCTAAAATGGACTGTAAAAATCGACGCCTGCACCTAGCTGTCTAAACTTTTCGTTAAAGGTGTATTTATCGGGTCGGTTTTTTCGTGTAAATTACAAAGCATAGTTTTCTTTCTGTAAAAAATAAGGCAAAGAAACTTGCCAGGGTCTACGGCAGGCAGCGACGCAGACGACAGGGGCTCAGTAGCGGGGTGTGTTTGGCGTTCGTATTGATAGATGGCGTCGGGAGCAGCGTCCGAAGGTGCAGGAGACCAGCGAAAGAAAGCAGACGACACGCAAACGAAATCCGTTGGCAGCAAAAGCGCCGCCGTTGTGCAGACGCGTTTTTTTTTTTACTTTAAGTTTTGCTTTTATTGTCTGCATTTATTTTTTAACCGAAGGTACGTTTCAAAAAGATTATGTTCATTTTAATAAACCATGGTGGTCGCGAGCCGTCGCGATAAGGAGGTAGCGCCATCTATCAATACGAACGCCAAACACACCCCGCTACTGAATCCCTGTCGTCAGCGTCGCTGCCCGTCGTAGACCCTGGCAAGTTTCTTGGCCTTATTTTTTTACAGAAAGAGAACTACGTGTTTTAATTCATAAGAAAAAACAGACTTGTGAAATGCACGTTTGACGAAAAGGTTACATTGCTACGTGCAGGCGTTGATTTTTACGGTCCATTATAGATCGAGCGTGATGACTTGGACCAGTTAAAACCGGTTAACCAACACGTGTTGGTTAACCGGTTTTGTCGACCACGTTATACTGTGGAACACATAGCACGAGCAAGAAATTAAGAGTATTTCCCTTCTTCTTTTACGGCTGGAAAGTTGTGATCTAAACGACAGGAGTAGTGCAATCTGTTTATCTGGTAGATAAAACCTGGCGCTAAAATTTGGCGTCAACAAGTACCTGTATTTGTGAAATAAAAGATTAAAAACCCGCCGGCAATGTTTTTGTGCTAGACTTGTCGCGTATTTTGCAATAAGGAATACATTTTACTGATTATTAAGAAGCAAAGACAAGCACCGAGCTAAGCAGTATACAATACAGGAGGTTTGTTTTCATGGAGACATATAGTGTCCCGGCCTCCTGTCCTTTCGACTTCGCTATATACATGTATTTCTTAAGTCAACAGCACCCAAATGGAGGTAATTGTTGACGCCAAATTTTAGCGCCAAGTTTTAATTGTTGATTGTGACGCAAAATTGTAATTGGTGATTGTTGGCGTCAAGTTTTAGCGCCAAGTTCTGAGCCACTTAGCCAAAAAAAAAAGAAAAAAAGTTTAATTTAGAATGTGCAAAGCATAGACCAGTGCCCGAAATCCTAGCCCCCAAAGATAAAAATGGGAAATAATTTCAAACGCAGACTCTTGTGAAGAGAGGGGCTGCACATAAAACATGATCTTTGCTTTTTGCAGCACTCTTGGCGTAGGCGTTGTTCTCGGAGCTTCGTGACTATGCATTTATGACGCTCTTGCACTGCGATATGTGCCAAGGTTTCAGAAAAAAGAAACGGAGTCTTGCAAAAAGCGCAGCCCCCCTACTATGTCATGGCGTGTGCATAAACAAACATGGCGGCGTCCATGGAACAGAGCAGACACTGGTCTATAGACAGATAATAATGTGCAACGTTGTATATACGGACAATCAAAACTGCAGAGAGTATATTTTTTATTCCTGTTGCGCTTGATATTGGCTGTTCAAATAATATAATCATCATCATCATAATTCTTTATTTCTGTGCCCACAAAGAGCAACTGTCTGCAATGTGGAACAACGTGATAAAACTAAAACGTGCAGAAATAAATAAAATTCACGTTCATGAATAAGTATATATATATATATATATAAAACAGATGCAAGCAAAGCAAAAACCCACTACTAAGATAGAATAAGCATATCATTCAGCGGTCTCATAAAATGATCATAATGGTAAGAATGTCGAAGTCCACATTAAAAAAAAATCATTTGCACAGGCCTGAATTCTGATTATAGGTGATAACGTTTATTGATTACAAGTGTAAAATGTAAGAGCGCTCCTATTTAAACAAGCAAGTACATTGAAGTTCACTGTGAAAATAAGCTTAGAGTTTATAACACCGTGAATTATTTTGTACAAAAATGGCAACATCACGTGACAGCCTTATAACGAATAGGACTTGAAGACCTAGCTTGTCTAATAGGCGTTTATATTTATAAACGTTCATTCGGCTAAAATATATGTCATAGACTTACGAACAAAACGTCACTGAATAGATTTTATACGGGCTGTATCAGATGCACTGAGCGAATTCCTTACTATGGAACCCAACTCTATCCTACATCTGATGAGGGTTGAGAATAAAAAAAGTGTTCTTACCAGGTGTCAAAGTTATTGGCGATGAAGGGAAAAGCAAAACACAGGCAAGCTGGTAAAGCTGGTGAACAAACTTCATAATAATAAACCTGGGACTGGAAGAAAAATACTTAAGACGGTATATCTGGTTGTTAGTTTCTTTTTTTTTTTTCACAGTCTAGGGGGTAGACCATTATATAGATCAAAGTTATTTTTGTAATACAGTTCTTGCCTAAATAATTTAAGACTGTCAAAACATAAACGCGTTAGCCGATTCGGGTTTAGAACTCCCTCTTTGTGTTTACAAAACTTAGAACGAGTAGTTATCAATTTTTGATAACACCCGCTGATTTAAAAAAAACACGCGCACACATTTATGAGACTAATATTGCTCTTATTTTTTGTAAGTGAATGAGTAATCCGCTGAGACAGTCTCACCGTGGGGTTGGAATGGAGGGTATGCACAATCAGGCCATTGAACACATCAAAACACTGGACTCACCCCTGGAACGTCACAATTGCCGTTATGGAGCACCATTGTGACGTCTTTTACAACAACAGCACAGATAAGATGCGCGACTCAACACGAGCGATACAATTTGGTACGCGCTAATGTCCTTTCGGAGCGACATCCGATAAAACGCCAATGTCTTGCTCATGCTAAAAGTGCCACGCAGTGTGCGTCTTAGGTATCAACAACTCCTTATCTCTCGACTTATTTATCTTCGGCATTCCGGGAAGTATGGTGACTCCCTGCACGCCATAACTGTTTATCTTCTCATATGTCAAGCGCTGCTTTCAGTATCTGTTAACCGGGATAACTGGACCCTGCAGGCAAATTTCGGCAAACAAACGCGCCGATAACATAAGGCTCTATACATGTCCAAAAATTAATGGGGAGTTTAAATATAGCGTGCGCTAGCACTAAATTCGGCGCTTACTTAGCCCACGCTACGCAAGATAGTTTTAGAGTAGCGTTTCTCCGCTGCATGGCCACCAAGAAACAGGTGGCAGCGGCAACTGCCACAGTCCTCAGAGACACCATTTTCTAACTGTGCTTGTCTTGACTTGAGCCAACTTTTCGCGCACCACGAATCTTTCTTGGAAAAGCGCGAAAACTCTTAACGTACGGATGCAATATCTGAGAAATGGCGTAAGCTAAAATAACGCACGCAAAGGGCAAAACGTGGTTAGCGTCCGGTGCGTTCGCAGTGGCGACAACTCTATTCTTTGCGTACGGTATTCTTAAACTTTTAGTGAGTCAGATTTGCGTGAAAGCATGATTATTCCTATTCACAAAATGCAAACTAAATATGCATTCCGTGTTTAGATGCAACTGCTAGTAGTGTGTTTCTGATTCGGGACTTGGGTGGTTTAATACATTATAATATTTTGTTTTAATCATCAGGTTAAAACTATTTACAATTCATCTTGCAACAGGTTGATGTCATAACGCGTATATTACACAGGTATATACACATATATCATTTTGTTTCTAATGTTATTTCGAACACCTACGCGAAACCGCCTTAAGTTTGTCTTCGTAGTTTGCAACGTCATCGGGTAAGTTTAACTTTTTAGAAAATACACAGATGTTAACCAACGTCCCTTTGCTGATTGGCTAATTTGATTGGAAAAGTATTTTACTTTTCCAATCAAATCAAACAATCCAAGGTATTTTACAATCACATTGAAATATTTTATCTGATTGATATACACACCCCTCGTGTAACAGAAGGCTCATGTGTGATTGGAAGTTTTTGTACATGGTTGTCAAAGGTGGTTTTTGTCATTCAGCATACGGGAAGTGTGTACGCTCGTGAGTTTCTCAAAGGTCTAGCCATGTTCGCATATCATTCCTTTTTAAATATATATAACACGAATTTTATTGCAAGGAGCGGAAGCATGCAAGCGAGCCGGTTAGGAAACATCACAATCTAAACCCGTAGACAAGAAGAGATAAAATAACGTCTTGTCCGTTATCTTATTTCTTGTTATCTCAAGGTTTAGGTTATAACGAATAACACGACTTGTCTACAGCTCTTATTCAACAACTTCTTACGCAGTCGGTGAAAGACTAAGAAAGCAGCGTGCGCTGGAGGTTCCACTGATTTCGAGCTTCGACAATAGTCTTTTCAAAAGCTTGCGCAACGCCTTTCCGCCATTGCTCGATCACGTGATTTGAGCATGTATAAAACACGAGGGCTGCGTCACCGTTCGGCGAGGACTCGGATCCAATCACGTGCTTCGTGTTTGAGCAGTGGCGACCGCCAATGTTGCTCGACGAACGTTTGAAAAGGGTCGACTTTGATCGCAATATTCCTGGGCAAAAACAACAATTGACCCCGTAAGTGCCCCACTATGAATTCTTTTAAGTTACTGAAAATCATTATATTTCAAACAAATATGCAATATCAGAATATCGTCTTTATTCACACGATTCAAACGACGGCGCCGGCTTGCCCGGCCGGCGTGTGGCAGACGGCATACTTCTTGCATTCGTCGTCTGGTGCAGGCATCTCGAGGACCGGAAGTTGCAGTCATAGATATTTCAGAAACAAGCGATTACCGGCACACTTCTGTCGAAACATATTTGACATTCAAGCTTTCTATATTTGTGATCTTTTGAAGCTTAAGTCCTACTGCTGATTTTTGAACGGTCGGGTTTTCGTAGCGAAACCTAGACACATGTATTTGTCCATAACAGCGACCCTAGCAACGGTTTGTTTGGACCCATGACGTCACACTTACAGAGTCAATTTTGAAAGTGCGTTGATGTTTTTCTTTTATGCTGACATATGAACTTGCTCTGTGTGTCTCGCTTGATCCGATGTTGGCTTTAATTTTTGTTGCAATTTTTTTATGCACTAAAAAGGCATATAGCTGTCTGTGTGGCATTGAAAATGAATAAAGGTACATTTATACAGCACCGATTAACTACTTTCAAGGGCTTACGTCGATATCAACACCATGCAATTTTTAGATTAACATACAAGCTAATCTATTAAACCTTTAATTAACGATCACATTTTAAGTAATTAAAACGACCATGGAGTCACCGGATGCGATGACTCCAACCTTCCACCGTGCTTTTTAAGCACACCATGGAACTTGTCTTTCGCAAGTTATGGTAATGCCGTCACAGCAGTTCCCGAACGCAAATTCGAATATTCGTCGACGGATTGATTATGGACGAGCGCATATACGTCCAAGTGACAAAGTGCTCGTGTCCGATGCGTGACCTGGGTTCAGCTGTCGTGTTTGGGCACCGCGGATGCATCGAAGAGAAAAGGCGAAGATATTTAGAAGGAAAGGCGCTGTATGAAATAGTCCGCTATATTTTCAAATTTGCGAACCAAAAAGCAGGCGTTTGGCTTCCTGCCTTCGTGTACTAGTTTCTTTTTGGCGCACTAAATATAATGCGGTCGTCGCAATCCCATTTTATCGCAGACCGAAATTCATTTCATGGTTCCTTTAATTAGTAAAAAGTAACATGACCAGCTTTACTCAAATATAGATTTTCTGAAAGCTATAATAGATTTGCTCTTTACTAGATTTGCTCTTATTAATGCTGGAGAAGGTTCCTCCTTGATTGTTGGCATTGTGGTTGTTTGCAGATCACATCGCTGCTTGTTTTAGAGATTACTAAAATAATGCTTAGTAGCTGTCGCCCGGATGTCAGTAAAATGCGTATTCATATATTTCCTCTAATATTCTGCCATTAGTCCAGGACATTTGGATGTGTGCCAAACAAACCAACAACTGAATTTAATTGACTTCAATACGAACTTCTCCTGCATTGTCAAGGCTATAGAATCCCAGAATTCATGTTTCAAAAGTTCATCATCATATATATATAAAATTTCGCAATGTTCTAACAATTTAATTCGTCACTACAATATCCAATTAACCAATTAATTACTTCATAAAATGTCACCAAATGATTGGTTAAAACTTTAATCGATACATAGCCCTATAGTCGAGATACGACTCAAATTTTACACTGCATCCAAGCCGACTAACTCGTATTCAATTCGACATCCAATATTTTAATATCTGTTGGCGCCGTTCGATTTGACTAAGAATTGAACTGAAATTCTTTATTTCCGCACGTCTAGTAATAAGCAAAACTTGTCCTGGCATTTCATTAAACCACAGTTTGCCCTGGCATTTGATGCTAGTGTTTTTTGTACCTGCTAACATTGTATTCCTTTTTTTATGGGGCGGAGAATTTCTGCATTCTTAGACACATCTGACTTCAAAATAATTTAATTATTCTTCTTCGTGTGTCTTAAGTAAATTTTTACTCGTTCCAGATGACCAGGATCAAACAGGCCGGTGCAGACGCCATGAATGGAGTAAGCATTTTCACAAATTTGTGCATTGTTTGTTTTCATCTTCTACTTTAGAATTCAACGATCTCAACCGCCGTTTTTATTTTAGGGTACCGGAGTTAGCATAACAGAAATTGTGGTGAGTACATTGTCGATTGCCATCGAGATCTTACTATCAACCATTTTATGCTTCAGATTACTATTTAATTAAACGTGACTCCAGAATACCGAAGAAGTGCATGAATAAATGTCGGTCGAATGGTTGCGAATATGTTACGTATTACTGTAGCTATTTAATTTGCACGACATTAATGTAAAAGGCTTCATACTCTTTCAATGACAAAATTTCAATGCATTCAATTAGTACTGCTCACTTATAGAAACTCACGTGATACATAAACGAACTAAGGATGCGGCCAGGATGAGCATGAAAAATGCTCAAGGGCATGACTATAGCTTGCAATAATTCGTATTAGAGACCCGAGAAATCTACAAACTAGAGACTACAAATCTACAACATCCTGAGCGAGGTTCCGAAATAAATAACCTTTAGCGGTCTCGTGCACCGCTTGTCCCAACCGTTTCTACGGTGAAATACAAGGAAGATTGAAATCGGCGCCGCCACTGCACGCGAATAGCACGGCCGCTAGAAGCAGAGGAAAACAATAAAAACTTTTTGAACAATCCAGGAGTCGGACATATCCTGTCCCTCTCTTGAGCTTAGGACATAATCCGACAAAACTATTTTGGAACCTTCATAGAGTGCAGATGATTGAAAAGAAATAAAACATATTTCAATTCACTTTGTTTTCAGAAGTTCAGGAGTGGAGTATTGGGGAGGAGATCGAACTATAGAGGGCGCTTTATAGAACTTGTTGTCCACACAGTCCGGTGTTTACTAACACAGCATAACAAAGAAATTGAACCTCGCTTAGCACGGTTTGGGCACGAGCCTTCGCTCTGACCAGGGCTTTAGTTGCACGAAAAGCGGCTTTCGAATCGTTGTCTTCGATTTCTCGGATCAAAAACAAACAAGAAAAGACGGTTTGTTGTCCCCAAGCTGAAGAGCACCGCTATAGGTGCGACTGTTGGATCTCCTCCCCAATACTAAAACAACTTTAAGAGGTCCTGTCAGGGGGAACTTTCCTGACTTCTAAACTTCCGCACATTTGCAACACCAATGCCGATGGTTGAGCGTGTAGGTTTCTAATTTACGATAAGGAAAGAGGGGCATGAAGACAAACAGACAAGACAGGCTTGTATTGTCTGTTTGTCTTCAATGTCCCTCTTTCAATGTCTTATCGTAAATTCCAACACCATATCGCAAGAATCGCACACCCTAAACGAAGTAATGATTGTTGATGTAAGCAGCTAAATTTTGAAAACAACAACAACAATAAAAGAACACGAAAAACAAAGAATGAACCGGGACACAATAACAGGTGTCAATATTAATAAGTATAAACCAACTAACTCGACTAAAAACCCGTAACGTGACTCATCGCATAATTACAGGGTGGTGCAGCCAAAAAAAACGTTGATTGAACTATTACCCGTTAGAATTTTTCTTTTAATGTATCAGTCTCTATATACGTGCATGTTAAGAAGTGCTCATTGATTCAAGCCCTGACAACTTTTTATTGGCACTTTTCAGAATCGAGAGGTATCCAACCGGACCCTGGCTGACGCCCTGATTGCGAAATTTCCCGGATTTGTTGTAAGGTTTTCATTGCTGTCTTCATTGCGTTTAGAACAAATTTCTGAAACCATTTCTTTCGACTTGCAGATGTGCGTTATGAGGGAGAGCCAGCGGCTGCAAGAGCGCCCCTACCGGCCGCCGACTTCAACCAAATCTTAATAAACTGCATTCTTTCCTCGGACATGCGACTTGTCAAGCGCGAATGCCTTTGCTAAGTACCTACTACAATAATTACTTTCCATGAATCTCGACGATATAGTGCAGATAACAAATCCCGTGGCACTTTCACTCTACGCGTACAATGGTACCATACTTCATTTTTTTTTTTTGTGCTTACGGTAACGAAAGCCACCATAAGAATGTTTCCCACTTTGTGACAGCGAGCGAACGCAGCTGTGGAGTCATGTATCTAGCTTAAGCATCCAGCCGTACACATAGCGCTATTTAGTCGTCATCATAATCACATTCACGTGAAAACCACAATAAATATAGCACCGCGCTTAAACTCAACACCGGGGGGGGTCTTTGGTGCGGCGGGATTCCTCTAGCGAATGCTGAACAGCAGCTGCTGATCCCAGCACCAGTTTCGAATGCGCGCTGGAAACTTGAACTCGTCCATCCAAAGCTCGTAAAACAAGAGGGCTCCCCTCAAAGGTCCTGTGAAACAGGGCGAAGAACAGAAAACAAAGTAAAACAAAATAGTTTGGTCCGACGCTCGTGTCCACGTTCACCCTCCCGCCATCATGTCCATCGTCGACGCCATTTCTGCGTGAGCGCCGTGTAGTTTCGTTCCCATCCGTGAAAACTCCCCCAAGTTCCAGAGTGTTCAGGAGACCATATAGGGTTTCTTGCCTCCGCATCTCTCCTCCCCCAACACTCGAGAGTTTTGTCTGTGTTACAGCTGTTGGAAAATTAGTCACGTTTATGTGTTGGGTGTTGAAGGGTGGAGAGGAGAAAAGTGAGTTGTTGGACGTTTGTGCTCTTCTCCTGAAATCGATACTATATATTGTTGATCGTGTCGAAGGTTTCGAACAGGAAAGCTGACGACGGGTTGCCCGCGCGACCATGCGCGTATGCCTCTTCCGCGTTTTCACGACGGGATATATATGCTTGGCGTCCGACACTGGAATAAATTGCCCTCAGGAGTTCAAAGAACTGTTCCCTTGTATCGCTCTGTTTAATCTAAGTATATAAATATTTCCTAGTCGCTCAGTGTAAAGTGTGAAGTTTTGCGGAAGGCCGACAGCACGCTGGTCCGCCAAGCATGGCTGCTGGCGTCTGTGGATCAAGGCACACTTTAAAATAATAATAAAAAAAAGAAACACCCACACCATTGTTTTATGTTATTTAATTTTTTTTTAAAGGTGGAATCACTTATGAAAAAAAAAGGATATTCTTAATTTGTTGAAGAAAAAATCGAGGCGCGCAGCACAGTTTTGCTTTGGCTGGGCATTACTTTTAGCGCTGAAATGACGAGCCTCGAAGGGGGAGTCGGTGGCCGAGTTACAGCGAAAGTTTGCGCCGCAGAGTTGAGGGATCCTGGTTTAATACTCCCTCCTTTCCGTTTTGATCTGGGCAAGCATCGGACCGACCTACGGTTGTGTAATCACTAGTGCGTGACGCACGCTAGGCTCCACGCTAGCAGTGGTGCTGCACTACCTAAATTTCTCATCTGTATCGGAGACAACAGACGCTCATTGGGGCTTGCTAACTCTCCGCCATTAAAATATATGCACAACATCATTTATTGCCTGTACTGAAATTACAGAAGAACTGCAAACGTTATTCGCGCGGCTAAAATATTTTACTGTTTTCTTTTGTACCTTAAAGGGACGATAGAAGATTTTTTCTGCTTTCAATAAACACAGCTTAGAATTATTCCTTGACATTAATGACCTATAAAACATAGGTTTTTTTCTCTTCTCTACGCACTAATAGTCGAAAAAAAAAAAAAACACGGAAAAACGCACGCCGTTTACAGCCTCAACTCGGAGTCAGAAAAGGCGGTCACGTGATCTAGAGCCGATTATATATGTTGCCAAGGTTTTTAACATAGCCACGCGTTGGGGTTGGCAGAGAACAGGGCGCGCGCTGACTTCCACGGATTGTTAAGGTTTGGCTATTCCCGTCCTCCCAGCGATTGAGCACGAGCCACTACCTCGAATGCGTGTCGAGGCATTGATTGTCACGGGCCAAAATCGAATGTGTACGCAGTCTTCGTGTCCACTGCGAGAGCAGCATTTAAATGTCGTCACAGCGGGGTTCGCAAAGCTCGATGACGCACTTCCTGGGGATCGCGTTGTTGACATTGTCTCCACAGCTCCGTCGTCAAGTTTTCTGAAGGAGAGACTGAAATAAAAGGTCCGCTTTTATCTTTGGAATTTTACCGTGACGAAGACGCTTCTTGGTCAGTGGCGTCGAGTTCGAGTATTCTTGGGTCCCACTATAGTGCCAGGAACCTGGTGTAAAGTAAGAGATATTCATACCCAATAACGTTGCACAGCCAGTTTAAATTTAGTTCGTTAAATTATATTTCTTAGCACAACGGAGCGTTACAAGATATGTTTACGTCATAACTTTTTTTCCCACCCTTAATAAAATCCACCCCCCCTCCCCCCCCCCCCAATCTTTCCCCAGCCCAGCCATTCCGCTCTACCCCACTTTCATGACTTCAATATTCCATTACATGTCACGCTTCGATTTAACAACAAGAGTGGATTAGTTTAAAAAACAAAAAATAAAATTACAATATTTATAAGCTAGCAGCACGTAGAATATCCAGTTTTTTTCCAACCTCACGTACAAATACATTCAAATATTAGTAATACTATTTCCTCTGACAACAAAAAGACAGATTATTATTTCGTCGCGAAGTATTGCGTGGGAGAAGAAATGATGGCGGGGCAGAGCGGAGAAAAAAAGACTCAGATAATTATCGCACACGCTACAGCCGAAGAAAAATATTAATTTGGTGATGCTCGCTCTCCAAACACTTATGGTTCTTAACTTAAAAGTATATTTTTCTTGTACATGCAACTTTCCAACTATAATTTGTTACAGCTTAAGTCCTGACGAAGCCGACGCTACGCGGTGATGGGACCAATCAGGCAGCGCCGGAAGCGAAAGTCACTAGGCCTTTTCTGTTTTCACCTTAAAGGGTCACTCCGGTACTTTCTCTTGATTTTAGGGTTACGGCTGCTTTTTAGTATGGGAAGCGTCCCTGAATTAAGGGGTGTAATTTATGTTTCGGTGCCTTGTGTAGTTTTGCAGTGTGGGTTTCCCCTTTGAGGGGGCACCACGTAATAACACAGGGTGTCTGTGGGTCCGCAGAGTGTCATTTTTGTTGGCGTTTCGCCATCACACTTTGCCGGTCGGCCCAAACAAATAAATGCAAGGAACTAAAAAATGTCGGCGCTGTCGTATCAGACAGATTCACCTGGAGGGGGCCCACGCCACTGTACTATAGGCAGATTCGTGGGTAGGGGGAAGCGCCAAAAGAAAAAGGCTCCGAGGCCAGAGCCTCCCACAACAAGAGAGTCTCGGCCGCAGTTCGCGACCGGCTTATCGAGCCTACAGGAAATGGAATGCGCCCGGAGTAGGTGGTGTGGCTTAGTCCGCAAATGGGTCGCGTCCATAATCATTCCCAAGGTGCACCGGAGGTATATTCACACAAAAATAGCAAGGGAGAAACCGCCCCCTTCGAGGACTGCGCGCTCACCTCATATCCGGGAAGCCGTCGCCATAACGGTCCCCAAGGCCTGCGTGCGCTAGGCCTAGATAGGGATACGGGGAACACGTGGTCCCCACAGTAGATACCTCATCTCAAAGTTTTGTTTCCCGAGTCTACGGCAAAACCGAAAGTATAACGGCTCGAGATGATGGCAACCCTGGTGATTAGCTTTATGGCTATCGTGTAGCACAAAATTCGTACCGCGGTACTTCAAAACGCATACGACTGACCTAGTCGCAAGAGCAGTTTCGATCAATCAGGTAGGATGCTATGGCTGTTTCGCTGCTCTGTTTTGTAGGTATCAAACATATGTAGCAAGTATTAATACACATTGCCAGCCGAAAAACAAGTTCGACGCGATACATTGCTGGTGTTCACTGGGTGCCATAATTGACCTCGGTGTTTTGCAGTGCAGGCTCAGAACGCCCCCCCCCCCCCCCCCTTTTCTTACCTTTTATGAAGAACTACAATCTTGGTGGTGTGCAACGCACGTTGCAGAAGCGCAATGGGAGCTTATCGTAAACTCGTGCTGAGCAGGTGACGCACTGAACTATGGCCGCCAGTGAAGGTTTCGGTGTCCACGGCCTTCCAAAATCTCTTCGACGAACTGTGTCGACCCCCACCTTCCTCAACTTCGAGTTTTGGGGGAACTGGTAAAAACACACGTCCGGATGGCGCAGCGGGTTCACATCAAGAAGTGCTTGGCATTTCAAAACGATGCCAGTCCTTTGGGCGCCTTGCACTTCGGCCTCACGACATGCATGAGTGAGCAAGGAGTCAATCATTTTCGTGCGCGATCGCTGAGGGGCACTTACAAACGGCGGCCGCTAAGACATAACAGAACAACTAGAAATCGTCTGCTAGCACGACTGAAAACGAAGCAGATAAGAACGGTGAAAGAAGTGGCAGTATGAACAAGTAAACTCCTTGAGTACGAACGTGACGTCGGGGCACAATGTTGATTGACAAACAGCCGACCCGTGTATTGCCTGCTGAGAAACTGGTGGAAGCATTTTTACAAAACGGTTTTAGAGAGGATCGCGGTTTCCCATAAGTGTAATCTTTTGGTAGTGCTCGTATTTTGTCTTCGTGAATCGATAATTGTAGTTTAAATAGGTTCGATTTTTGGCCGGAGGTATCCTCTAAGCCTGTACGTAGCCGACGCTACGAGCTGATCGAACCTATAGGATGGAAGCAGTTATACAGCGTCGAAGGCACTCCAACATGGTGCTCATCGTGTTTCTGTGCGTGTTCTATCATCGCTGAACCAATAATGTACAGGGAAGGCCCAGTAGCTTCCCCTTTTGACACTGTTTAATTGATCCCATCGGCTCCTAGCGTCGGATGAGTTCGGACATAATTAAGGTGAAACGAAGCACATTATAGGGAGTTTCCGTCGGCTCGTTTATGATCGGCTGCCCTTGGACTTAGGCCGAAACATATTACAG